CATTACCAAACATTTACACACCAGAGATTTTTTCAAGCACACACAGATGGTGCTACTGTAAGTGGTTAACGAAGTCATTGCAAAGAAGTGGACAAACGGACAAGCAAGTTGTCAGGAAGGAGCAAGCGACAGTAGTGTTGCATATACGATGCCAACACAGCTTTGGCCACCTAGAGGTAATTCGAATGAATGGAGTAGCCTCGATGATCTGTGTGCACTGCGCGACCTCATCATTTGATACTCTCGCAACCTCAACGATATTTCAGATGGGCTCATCCGAATGTTGTGAATTTACAGTGAGTAAATGTGCGTTAGAAAATGTGTTTGTGGAGTCATCTGATTCAGTGTTGTGGTGGTGTGAAATCAAACATTATAAACAGTGCATTTGATGTAAAATATGGCGTCTTAAATGTGGATCGATCCTTGAATGCTCCACCTTCACACCAATGTGCCTTCTGGATACCGTTCTTTGCCATGTTCAGCCGATTTTGCTTCTCACGTTACTTGAATTGTAAAGGATATTTGAATTTTGAACCGTAGATATTCTCTCCATCCATCCCAGTGTGCCACAGAAAGTGAGATGTGAGACCACTCCTGGTAGGTGAAAAAGCATGATTGAGAGGTGTCTATGCAATCAGCCTTTAATTAGCAAAAAGTCCATTTTATATGAGTGGCAAGTGAGTCGTGAAAGGCCTTTGGTCAATTTGCCAACCAGTGTGTAATACGTACATAATTCCACAAGGGACACCTCTTCGACACACCCCATATTGGAGGTAATTGCAGTTCTACTTTGCGTCGGCTATCCTAACTGCATTTCCTTGTCCTTTCATGTTTTCCCACTGTGTTTTAATGAGGCTATCATAAATGAAACAAAAGGCGTTCAATGAACACTTTTTCTTTGAAGGTGACCCATTGTCACATTTGTGGGGTTTGCGTGTTGCTTTAAAGCCGACAGTAACATCAGGAACAATGATTATCAATACAGAGAACCTTGTACTTATTGTATCAAAATTAAGTGAAACTGTGGTCGGAGTAACAATTCTACTTGATTGTGGGCAAATAAAGTTGGTCGCAAAAAGGCAGTTTATGTAAAATTGGACTGACAGCAGGAATATGGACGAGTCAAGCAAAACTGCCATTTAACTTTAACCCTGACGAATTATTTGTGCTCAACTTTGTGTCGGCTGCTGTGCAAATTCCACTAAATAACAGGCTAGAAAGGTGTATTCTTCACTTATGTGAGTATGCCTAAGTGAAATCAAAGGAGCGCGGAGGTATTCTAAACCAATAAGCTAGTTGTATCACGAAGAATGCTATGCATGTCAAGACTGGTTACACTAGCACTAATAATGGGCAAGTGCTTCAAGCCACTGTGTTTCCTCAATCATTCACTACGCTTCACTTGTTGCCGATGGCAATTGATTGGAGAAGAAATGAAGGCAAATCAAACGTCAATTAACAATTCTTGTATCTGCTAGAAACTCAATTGTCAACCACAGTCATACAACCTGTTCACTTGCTCGAGCCGAATTTGCAAAGGAGAGCACCTGGTTGTTTTTACCCAACATCTCTGCAAGTACGTAGGTGCTCGACTTGTAAGGACTCACACTTACGCATTTCTGCTGAAAGTGTTGTATACTTGAGCAAAATTAAGAGTCTCGCATTTTCATTCGTCTAGCATTGTCACCCAATCAACCGTCTTGATGAGGTCTAACTGAAGCGCATATAAATGCACTCAAGGCGTTTTGCTGGTCACGAATGAGTCCCATGCTAAGAATTACCACAGTTCTTCTTCTTATCGCTTATTGCTCGGGTACGTATTAATTCCTTCATTTCAACTTTATTTCCTACTCTTGACGTCACCGTATGCTGTAATACCATGCTTGTATTAACAACAAATACAGCCCATTTTGAGTGGACCACTTTTGCAGGGCAAATCATTGGAAGTGGTATTAGCGCTCACATTTGGTCACAATAAACCGTGTTGCCAGACAAGTACGAATGCGAGTTCGACAATAGGGTATGCGCGAAATGGCATCTATAAAACTGGGTAAAGTGACAACACGACTTTTATATGCAGGTGCAAATCATCACAGCTCATCACCTCGGGTGATGGATGGCTCAATGGACAGTGCTCAAGTCGGGTGAGAAAGCGTCTCAACTCTGGAATTAAAGCACTGATATTGCCTCCATTGTGGGTGTCGTGATCGGACGCTATTGAAATTAGGAGGTACGAGAAGAAAGGCAATTGTTTTAAGGGTGGGCGATCTAACAGCCGTGGGGTTTGATATACTTGCCTTACCTGCATTCGCATCGTGCTGAAGTTGTGCCCACTTAAGCAACTGGCGTCTGCATTTTAAATTCCATAATGGCATTTTAGGCATTTCCTTTGATAACTCTTTCAAACAAGTGCATTTTAAAAACAGATGAGCTGTCTAATTTTCAACGGATGCATGCAGATGCCATAAGGTTGTTATATTTCGCTCGCACAAATGTCCTAGGCATTTGCGTAAATACATTTGTAGTAACTTGAATATTTGTTTGCACCTGAAAAGATGCGGTTTCACTGATATGGGGTTCTCGGATCATTGGAACACCAATGGGACAATCGCCACCAATGCATTTTCGTTTTCCTGGAAAAGCTGTATGTCATAAACATTTGTATTAATTTACGAACACTTTCAATGAGCTGGTAGACGACTTCTGCTCTGCTACTTAGAGATCCAAACTCACATCACACTTGTTATTCTTTTTTGAAATGATATGGATAGGCAGGGCAGAACATGCTATCATCCCGTGTCATTGCTACTGTACCCACGCCTCAAATGCTACAGTGGGTCATTTTAATCAATGTTAGCTTATAATGGTGCTGATGCTAGACGGAACTTTGCGCCAGATGAGCATTATAAGTGG